CCACTCACCTCAGCCTCCCAAGGCGTGGGATTACAGGCTGAGCCACCAAGCCTGGCTGGACACATTTTTTTTTGTTGGAATTAAGTTTATAAGCATTTCAGAAATTTAAGAGCTCTGAGAAATGAACAACAGCAACAAACACATAAGTAGTAGAATACTACAAATAACCCTATCATAGAAATAAGTTTCACAGAATGCTAGTGAGAACTCTCACTGAATGAAATAGTGATCACTATCTCCTCCAAACTTACAGGGAACCTATTGGTCTCTGGTAGATTCTGCCTTATCTGAAAATCATTAGTAAATGTGTTTTCTTTCTTTCTTAAAACTGTGAATTTGTGACTCAAGCACACATATGCAAATCTCTACATACACATTGATATACACTTGAAAGTACCACTGGAAACAAGGACCATGCCATATTTATCTTTTTAACCACAGAACACTTTGCCCCCTGTCATGCAAGTATTTTTGGCACTTTTATGAAGCTGACTGAATGATGGTAAATAGTGGCACACTAGGGTGGTTACAGCCCTTGGGAGTGGAGCAGGCCTACTTCTGATTTGTTACCAACCTTACAAGTATATTTTGGGGTTGAATTTGGATTTGGAAATCTGTTCCCGTCCACATTTCTATCTTTCCCTATATATTTCCTTTTCTTAAAGATCATGGAAAAAGAAGCTGCCTATTCCTTACCCCCACACCCCATTCCCTACCAGCCATTCCCAGTTAAATTCTTAGGAAGATAGGTTATTTTTCATTTAAAAAAATGTTTTAAGTGATATTATTCTGGCCATTCAGGAGTATCATATAATGATATATCTTAATTAGAATATTTAGGGTTGTATCCTTAAGGGCATATACTATGCTCTGTACCTTAGTCAAAAGTAATTTTTGTTTGTTTAATAAAATACAAGATTGCTGAGTGTTCAGTGCATGACAATATTACTAAACAAAAAGAGCATTTAAAATTTTGCTTTTGAAAACTCATATACCATTGTACAAGGATTTATCAAAATCTAATACAAACTTCATAAGAATGGTTACAATTTTACTACTTATACAAAATGTTTGCATTTCTTTTTTTATACTCTAAAACAGGGGTTCTTAACCCCCAGGACATGGACAGTACTGGTTTGTGGTCTGTTAGGAACTGGGCACACAACAGGAACTGAACAGTAGACGAATGAGCAAAGCTGAATGAGCAAAGCTGATTTACAGCTGATTCCCGTCAATTCCATTACCCCCTGAGCTCCGTCTTCTGTCAGATCAGCAGCAATATTAAATTTTCATAGAAGCATGAACCCTACTATGAACTGCACATGTGAGGGACCTAGGTTGTATACTCCTTATGAGAATCTAATTCCTGATGATCTGAGGTGGAACTGGGAATAGCTGCAAATACAGATTAACATTAGCAGTGAAGTTTGGACTGCACACCACCCCCCACCCATGGTCCTTGGAAAAATTGTCTTCCACAAAACCAGTCCCTAATGCAAAAAGGTTGGGGACCACTGCTTTAAAGTATACTAAAGTCCTCTGTGATCAGAAGGTATTGGTTACCAATATATGTCAGTAATACAGAATGGACAATTTAAACTTCAACGTGGAGTAGTTCTACAGACTTCTAGTAAAAAAATTATTTTTTCATAAATTTTTTTCCATCGTTGTTGACTTATTTCATCGCCACTTGTATTTTTCTTTGTTGTTTTTTGAAACATAAAAATGGGAGTTAAAAGCTACTGGTATACGTATAGGATAAGCATCTTGAGGCACCCACGGTCAGTGTCACATTCTCTCTTCTGATCTTCTTACTGGGGAATTACATTTCTAATGTCATGAAGTATAGAGGAAAATGGACTTTTATTTCTAAAATATTTTATGAATGACAAGTTGTATTTTTAAACTAATTTTGATTGTTTTGTCTTAGGTATACTTATAGTTTAAGTAGTTCAAGTTCTCTTTTAGTAAACTTTTAAAAGTTATCTATATTTTGTTGTATTTTATTAAAGGTAAGGGGATAATTTAGATTTTATCATTTTGCAGTTAGTCTTTTTAGTGATAGATGTCTTTTATGGTGAAACTTACTAGTGTCAATTCTCTCCATTAAGGACCTCAAACAATTATACAAGGCATTTCATTGCACTCTGTCTTTCCAATGTTGCTTTTATGCTTCCCTGGCAATTTGCTCAATTTATACTTTTTACACAGGTAAGATGATCTTAAACTAGTAAGTTAGATACAATATGTATTTGGCTGTTTCTCTAGAAGTTTTCAAATATGATCACTTGGGCCACAAAAGATTTTCAAAATATAAGTAAATTATAAAGTTTACAGAAATGTGTGATTGTAAAAAATGTTATTTTACATTCTATCAGTGTATTGGTTAATAGATATTAATGATCAACATGTAAAATATCTTTTCCATTATTTTTATTCACAGATGTTCTTGCTGGTGTTTGTGATAATATCTATATATACACCTGTAGATTTTCCTTTTACCTTAGGAATCATTCTGGGTGGCAACCTACACAGTATGCTAAGGGCCAATCCTACTCTTTATGGCAGGAAGTTTCTGCTCCTAATTGAGCTATATGTTGGCCATTTTATCTGAAGAGCAAAATTTTACCTGAAACTATTTCTAAGAGCTTTAAGCATGATATTGCTTAAGTGAATTGAGGCCATATCCTGTTTCTAAAACAGCAAGGTAACTAATGGCAAGAGACTTAGCTGGGGAAGCAGAGAGTAAATGGACAATTGTGATGACGTTTCATGACACTAAGATTTTCCATTAGAGCTCCTTTCAACCCAACGAACAACTGATGATAATGATAATGATTCTGAGAATCATTATGTTTCATAATATATATTTCATAATGCTATGAAAAATTCTGCTAAGAAGCCTCATGCTGCTAATTGTCTACAAAGAATACAGTTATAACCTTTAAGGGAATCCCTCTGCTTTACTTTCTAATAGTTGCCCCTTTCAGGTTATAACACAAAGATTATTCTATAGTTTTCATTATTTGCTCATGCCAACATGGTAGAACAGATTTTTAATTACCATCACTTCATTGCAAGCAACTTTGTTAATCCAGTGGTGTTGATACTATTTAAGAAGCTCTTGGGGTACGCTTGACATTGCCTTAATGATTTTCCAGTCTTTTAAAAAATGTACTGGACTTTTATTTTTCTAAATAATATGTAGAATTTTGTTTGTTTGGATGTTTTTTCATGCTAGCAGAGGGATAATTCAAGCTGTTTTTCTGGGAGTATTCTAAGATTTTATTCTTGATTGTATTTTTGATAGATAAAGTTTAAAATTAGTTTATGTCTTCTAAATATTTGTCAGAGAAATTGGGGTGAAGAAGCTAAGGATTGGTCACATTTCTAAGGGAGAAATTATGAAACAATTGTAGAAACCTAGAATATTTGGGGTGACATAATCTTAGATATTATCATTGTAAGACGCTGAGAAATTGTGACTTAATTTTGGAATTGAATTTTAATTTACAATGTCTTATATTTTTATTATATTTTATTACTGAATTTCCGGGCATATAGGGCAGACTGTTATGACTGAGGAAAGCAAAAGGGTTGCAGAAGGTGATTGTAAAATCAGAAATGATAGAGATGTTTCCAGAAGATACAGTATTGATATGTTTATACACAACCCACTATCAATGTAATTCTTTATATAATGAATTCTTTGTTTTAGGAAACTAATAAGGTCACATCTATTTTTAAAATTTTATATTAGATTCATAGGTATATATGCAGGTTTGTTACATGGGTGTATTGGTGATACTGGAGTTTGGGCTTCTAGTGAATCCATCATCCAAATAATTTGTGAACATAGTACCCAATAAGTAGTTTTTCAACCCTTGTCCTACTCCCTTCTTCCATCCTCTTGAGGACCCTGGTGTCTAATGTTTCAATCCTTATGTGTGCCACCGTTTAGCTCCCACTTACAAGTGAGAGCATGCAGTATTTCTAGGTAATGGCTTCCAGCTGTATCCATGTTGTTGCAAAGGATATGATTTTGTTCCTTTTCATGGCTGTATAGTATTCCATGGTGTATATATACTATATTTCCTTTGTCCTATTCACCAGTAATGGATCCTTAGGTTGATTTCATGACATTGCTATTATTAACAATGCTGCAATAAACATAAGAATGCAGATATCTTTTTCATTAAACGGTTTATTTTCCCAGTAGTAGGATTACTGGGTCAAATGGTAGTTCTGTTTTTAATTCTTTGAGACATCGTTGTATGGTTTTCCTTATTATTTGAACTACTTTGCATTCTTACTAACAGTGTATAAATGTTTCCTTTTTTTCACATTCTCAGCATCTATTATTTTTTGACTTTTTAATAATAGCCATTTTGACTGGCATGAGATGGTATCTCATTGTGGTTTTAATTTACATATCTCTGATGATTAGTGATGTTGAGCATTTTTTCATATATTTGTTGGCCACTCTTATGCCCTCTTTTGAGAAGTATCTATTCATGTCCTTTGCCCACTTTTTAATAGGTTTATTTGCTATTTCTTGTTGATTTTTTTAAAGTTCCTTATAGATTGTGGATATTAGTCCTTTGGTCAGATGAATAATTTGTAAATATTTTCTCCCATTCTATTGGTAATCTATTCTGTTGATTATTTCTTTTGTTGTATAGAAGCTTTTTAGTTTAATTAAGTCCCATTTGCCAATTTTTTGTTTTGTTTTGTTGCAAATTGCTTTTGAGGTCTTAGTCATAAATTCTTTGCTTAGGATAACACCCAGAGCTTTTTTCCTAGATTTTCTTCTAATATTTTTATAGTTTACATTTAAGTCCTTAATCCATATTGCGTTAGTTTTTATATATGGTGAGAGGTAGGGGTTCAATTTCATTCTTTTGCAAATGACTAGACAGTTTTCCCGGTACCATGTAATGAATAGGGTGTCCTTTTCCCAATGTTTATTTTTGTTGACTTCATCAGGGATCAGCTGGTTGTATGTGAGTGGCTTTATTTCTGGGTTCTCTATTCTGTACCATTGATATATGTGTTTATTTTTGTACCAGTACCATGCTGTTTTGATTACCATACCCTTGTAGTAAAGTTTGAAGTTGAGTAATGTTATGCCTCCAGCTTTGTTGTTTTTGCTTAGGAATACTCTGGCTATTCGGGCTCATTTTTGCTTTCATTTACATTTAGAAAAAAATTTTTTAAATTCTGTGAGAAATTATGCTGGTAGTTTGATAGGGATTGCATTGAATCTATAGATTGTTTTGGACAATATATTCATTTTAACATTATTGATTCTTCCAATCCATAAGAATTTAATATTTTTCTATATGTTTGTGTCATCCATGATTTCTTCCAGCAGATATCTATCTCATTGCAGGTATCTTTCACCTTCTTGGTTAGACATATTCCCAGATATTGTGTGTGTGTATGGCTGTTGTAAATGAACTTGTGTTTTGATTTGATTATCAGCTTGAAAGTTGTTTGGTGTATAGAAAAGCTTTGTAGTCTTAATTGTGTAATTATACTTACATGTGTTTTTATAATAGCGAGTATTGTTCTTTCAATTCCATGTTTAGAATTCCTTTGAGCCTTTCTTGTTGTGTCAGTCTGGTGGTCACAGATTCTCTTTGAATTTGCTTCTCTGGGAAATACTTTATTTATCTGTTGCTTATGAAGCTGAGTTTGGCAAGATTTGAAATTTTTAGATGGTGCTTTTTTTTAAAAAAAAAAAAAGGAGAGTAAAATGGGCTTCCAAATTCTTCTGGCTTGTAAGATTTCGCTGAGAGATCTGCTGTTAGTCTAATGGGTTTCCTTGGTAGGTAGTATGGCCCTTCTCTCTAATTGCCTTTAAGATTTCTTCTTTCTCATTGACCTTGGATAGTCTCATGACTATATCCTTTGGATGGTCATCTTGTATAGTATCTTACAGGTGTTCTCTGAATTACTTGAATCTAGATGTAGAACTCTGTAGTAAGATTAGGGAGTTTTTTCTGGATTATTTTCTCAAATATGTTTTCCAAGTTGCTTATTTTTTCTTCTTCTCTCTGAGAAATGCCAACAAGTCAGTTTTGTTGCTTTACATAATCTCATGTTTCCCAAGGCTTTGCTTGTTTTGTTTTTTTTTTAAGTTCTTTTTACTCTATTTTCCTATGACTGGGGTAATTTGAAAGATGACCTTCAAATGCTGAAATTCTTTTTTTCTTCTTGGTCTAGTGTATTGTTAAAGCTTCCAACTATATTTTAAAATGCTATCAGTGATTTTTTTAAATGTGAGCAGTTCTATTTGGTTTCTTCTTAATATGGCTATCTCATCTTTCATTTCTTGAATTATTTTTCTAGTTTATTTGTATTGGATTTCATCTTTCTCTTGGATCTTATTGAGTTTTCTTGTAATCTCTCCAATTCAGGTTGCAGTGCAGTAGATGGGACTTAATAGTTAGAATCAACCAAATGCAGGAGTGACCAGAAGAGAGAATGTTGGGGTGCACTGAAGTCTGGGAGGAGGAATGGGAGAGGTACACATGCTTTTCATTCTGAGCTGGCTGGAATATGATCTGTTTTCCTGTCATACCCCTATTTCAGGGCTTATAACCTTCATTTTATAAAGACTTTGTCCTTTGGTTCCCATCCACAGTGCAGCTGTAGGCTTAAGGTATACCTTTCTGACAACGGCTTCCAAAATGGACTCAGGGTAGAGTCTCTTCTTTCATATCAGAGCAGGAAATTCCAAGACTTGTCAGTCCTCCTTTGCTGGGATAGTGCTGCGCTCTATAGGGTAGGAGAGTCTGGTCCTGTCCTTTGTGAAAACCCAGCAGTGTAGGGTTCACTTTCTGTGTCTGAGTGTTTGCTGACCAACCTCTGGTGGGCAGTATGACTGTTACATCTACAAGTGTATGATGGCAGGAAATGACCTTCTTTCCATGTCCATTTCTGGGTGATACTGCCTCTTTTGGTGAATGGTGCCTCACCCATGTTTCCTTTGTCCCTAAGGGGGCCTTGGCAGGCTGTGATCTCCCCTCCCTTAGGGACAGCCCATGCTGAGGGTTAGATCTCCAGGGAACCCACAGCTCCCTGGGACTCACTTGGCCCCTGTGCTTGCCCATGTTAGAGAAGGTTGTGGGATGTTTGTGGAAGATCTAGTGGTGCTGCAGATCCAGGGCAGAGAGTCCTAGGGAGGGCAGTGTCCCAATGCAGGT